TTTCTTTAGTTAATTCATCATAAAAATATTGCGACCTGAAACATAAAATATTTGAAAGGGCATGTAGTTCTTTAACGTTTTCGATTTCACTGGTATAAATAATAACATCATATCCTTTGTCATTTTCCAACAACCTTTCATAATCATTCTGCAAACATTCTAAAGACATTTTTTTACAGATAATTAAGAATTAAAAAAAATATATATATCACATTGAGAAGTTATATAACTAAATGTAAACTATAATTGAGTTACACCACATCTATGTTTTGTGTAATTAGATGATCTTTAGTGCAACGATATGACGCAATATCTCAAATAACAAGCTCATTACGTCATTTGTCATCTTTTCGCAGAAGTAAAAGAAGTAAATACTTTTTAGTAAAATTAGTCTGCCAAATTCTCTACTTTATATTTGTTACATTAAGCTATACAAAGATACTGTAAATACAAAGATTATTTATAATATCGAAATTTACAATAATGGAAAAAATGGACTCTATCGTTTCTTTATTAAATTAATAATATTAATATTCATTAAATAATATGTTTTAAATGTATCAAAATTCAATCGTTTTCTACTGCAACCTTAGCATCGTAAAAACTTAATCAACTATTTTATTTTCATATTAATTTTTGGTGTTTGCTATTAAAATCAACGTTACGGATCACATTCTCTAATTTAGAGTATTTAAATTATTTATAAAAAATCTCCTTAGATACACAAATATCTTTCGTTAAAAACATTTATTTATACGTTATCGTTGTAAAATTTCTGTCGCATTTAACAAATAATTTAGCGGTCTCTTTATTTTAAATCGGAAATCAAATAACTTTAGATGGTAAAACCATGTAAAATTTCTAAACAATTAGTATAACTGCGTAATATAAATCCTGTACAATTGTTTAATCTCGTAGCGCCAATGAAAAATTTGGTTAAATCATGCTTTTTTAGTTTCAAATGATAAGTAAATTTCAATAAAGACAAACCTGGACAGTTACAAACAAGTAAAGCTATAAAAACTTTTTATCAGTTAATTTTAAGGTAAATTTCTCGAAAGTTTTTTTTTGGATATTTTCTATATTTTCTTTAATTATTATAATATAAATATTTTTAGAAATTTAATATCTTTTCTTTATAAACTCAAATTCATTTGAGATTTAAGATAAGTTTTATAGGATTTATTTGAATTTTATTTTATTTTATTTTTTATTTTAGGAAATTACATCATAAATTTAATGGGCCCGAGGTAAGTTTTATAGTGATTAATTCCTTCAATAAAAATTACGAATATTTTTTATCTTTTTTTAGAATTTCTTTATTTTTCTTTTGTGAATTCGGATCTAACAGTTTAGTATTATAGTAATTACATATATTATAAAGTTAAATCAACTTTTTTAATGATACACGAAAACTTCGAGGAAAATTTGTGAGAAAATTTATAAAAAAAAATTTATAAAATTTAAATAAAAACCTTCAATTAGTTTAAAATACAAAGTTTATTTGGAGTCAATATTATTAAATGAATATCGTTGCATAATTACTGCAGCTAATCAAAAACTATTCTAAGGGAATATCGAGAATTTCTAATCTAATGAATAAATGCCATCTATGATATCTCTAGTCAAACCATTCAACAATCCACCATTTTTATACCTTGCCCGGAGGTTGAGTTGTCTATAGGATGCTTTGCACTGGTATCAGCTGGGCAGATTACTAACCAACAATACATTCGGGATTATTAATAAAAGTTCCTTTATTAAACTAATAGTTCCACATAGTAATTAATAAAATTATTAACATTAATTGGTTCTAGTCTTCAATAAAAAAAATTATAAAGTATATGAGATTTAAGCTGTTATTAAACCCTTTTCAAGATTTATCAACAATTAATATGCTTGATAAAAGTCATTCAATCTATCAACGTTCCCAATACTCAATAAGTAATATTTAATTTTTTGATTTCGATATTTTTATTAAATGTAAAGAAAATTGCAACATAAAATAAAATATGTGTATGGTTGTTACACTAAAAAGAAAATAAAGTATAATAATGCAGTTTAAATTATATATAAATGAAAATTGTGACAATAAATAAAATTCTATATAATGTAAAATTTAAAATATTTCTATTTACAATCTTTACAACATTAAGACTACCATTTCTAATATTAGACCAAAATATCTAACGGGATTTAACATTTTTAAAGCCACAGATCTAGGTTTTAACACATTGGCGGTTGCACATTTTCGCATTTCTTTTTCATAATTTTAAATGCAAGAAATAAAAACTTCATACGATTAATAGATTAGTGCTTGGGAGAGTAAATCTGCATCTTGAATAGCGTTATTAGTTCCTAACCCAATCATAGGATTCATGGCATGAGCGGACTCTCCAATTAATTTCACTCGACTACTTTTTCAGGAACTAACTGATGAGGCAATTCCTTCGTTGTTTTGAATTATAAGTTTTAAATGGATATATATCTGGATTTTTTATCTATAATTCTAATAAAATATCAATCGTGTCGCATTCTGGACTTAATTTTCGAATAATCTCTTTGACATGTTCAACGACTGACTCAGAATCATTATCGTCAACTTTGATTTTATCAGATTCTACATCATCTAAATTTGCGGGATACGAATAATGTATGGTCGTTCTGTAATATTTCTCATTACAATCTTCTATATTCTTTATATTTTTGTAATTGCTCGATTTGATTTGAATTAGTCGAAAGGTAACCAATGAAGTTCTGCAAAAAATTCGATCCGATTCAAATCCGACGGATCGGATCAAAAATAAAAAGAAACTTTTTGGGTCTTTTTTTAGAACCGAATTACGGTTCTCTTTGATAAGAGAAACGAGATAGATCTGAATTATGATTCGTGAGGTGATTGGTAATTTTTATGAACGATTGCAGATCAGTTCAACAATAATAGAAAAGGAAACGGATTTATTTAATATATACAAAATGTTTTTACTGCCTCAGCTATTGCTCTGTAATTGAAATTAAGGAAAGAAGACAATGTTAAACTATTCCTATTGAAAATATGAAGCATATTTCTACTTCTCGGGACATGTCACGGATCCTCTTAAAATATCAAACAATCGCGGCTTATGCACGGAAAGTCAAATTAATTTGATCATGATGGCAGACATGAACGAAATGACATTTCGTCACAATCTAACAGACTGGACAGAAATGAAAGATATTGCACTCAGTTCGAGACGCTTATTGGTTATAAACTAAGCGGAAGGTTTATTATTTAAGAACCTTTAATAACATGTTATTTTATACATTGCGGTCTTCGGTTAATAAAAACTATCACGGTATATTAATGATTTTAAATAGCTGCGATACTTTTTTTTTTTAAAAAAAAATATAAACTATAGAGATTTCTTTATTAAAGCCGAATCGATTTTCAAAATAATGCGAAAGATTTACATTGAATTTAACAAGGAGTGTTAAAATTCTCATTCAAACACAATTACATAATTATTTGCATATTTTAGTATTTTCTCTCAAATCGAATCTTTATCAAATAATTTTAATGAATGATCGATGTAACTGAATAAAAAATAAAAGTTTCGAAATTTTTATTTCTAAGTTGTGCAACTTCATTATAAATAGTAGAAAGGTTATTTTCTCCTTATTTAAAAAATTAATGATATGCTTAGGAGAGCTCAATTAACAACTCGCCTTTAATCATTGATAAAAACGAAGAAATATGGCAGATTTAAAATCCTATGAAATCAAGTAACAAATAATTCGGGAGAAGATTCAAGATATCAAGACATTTCTATCTCAAATTTTTTAGCCAGTTTAGGACGTGTAAACCATATTTCATGTGAATTTACCTAAAATTATAAAGAAACTTGGTAATTGGCGAGACCCTAAATTAAGCTTAAACAATGTATGGAAACAAACATCATATTGATATTCAGAGCTCATTCGTATTCCATCCGAAATATTTAACGAGACTGTTAGATATAAGTACCCCAAAGATTTATAAACTTAACTCGAAATATCAATGTAAGCACCCTTCTGAGCTCTTGACAAGCACATACAATTCCTTCTTGTTTGAGAAGATTTATATGGGTGTTGTTTCATCAAAATGGTCATCTTCAGATAGATTTCGAACATTTTCACACGATGAACTTGATTCACCAGTTTTTCAGCTTTAAGTAAAAAAATAAAAAATAAAAAAAGAAGTCAGCATGAGTCAGAGAAACTCACATACCAACAATCATATCTGGGGAGACTGGGAATGGCTCCGCAAGGCACCATACCACCAACAGCACATACGACCAATTGGGATGATAACTGATAGTGATTATGACAAGATTTGGCTCGTCGCCAACGACGAATGGTACACGTGACAACCCCAGTTGTGGATGCCCCTATCTCAGTCCAAGTATCTGACTGCCGGTAAGTCGCTGACACTTGGTTCTGCCTCGTAATCACTAACAGAGTGTTTTCGACTCCTCAGACAAATTCGTAGAATTTTATAGAAGGACGTTTACAGTAGATCGCTTTCCGTACGCCAGGTCTGGTTACCTGACTTTGAAGCGTTCGCAAACTGTAGCCACGAAGTGCTTCCAGTTCTACAAATTCTACTAGTCTGTTCAAAGAGACTACTCTTTTTCAATTGATCTCAACTTTAATTCCTCTTCAGGTCGTTAAATAAAGGTCCTAGTAGTGAGGAACTAAAAACACAAAATCTAATTAAAAAAGAAGAAATCATTCGATCGCTGCAGAAATTATTAATTGTTCTCAAAGTAAAAAACCTTCTTATCACATTTTGGAAAAATCCATCACTGTATGTAACCTTAAATTATCAAAGACGTTTAAAAAAGTTATCGCCCGCAGTTCAAAGCGACCAAAATGAAATTAAGAAAATAAATTAATTCTGAAACAAAATAATAATAAAAAACAGATAGCGCTTTAACAAATAACGCTTTAATTCCGAAAAAAAAAATATATAAAATATAAAAAAAGAAAAAGACCTATCGAAAAAAAATTGCTTAAAAAATCGATAGTCTAAATTAAAGATAAAAAAAATAAACAAATTAACAATAATAAATCAGACCACTAATCTAAAAAAAAAAATATCATATTGGGACTTAAAAAAAATTATAGATCTTGTACTTTCTGAGACACTATCGTCAGCTGTAGAGACAGCTGTAGAAGAGAAGAAGAGGAAATATAAGAAGGTACGACGAAATAGGGGCAAAACGAAGTCGCCATGAAACGTCTACGTACTTGTATGTTCGTTGTGACATATTTTAGCTTTTTCCTTTCAAATCCTGAAATTTTCAAATATTTAATATTTCTTTTTTTTTAAAAAAAAAAAAAAAAATATTGGGTACGTAAAAAAAAAAGAATGGCCGGCCAACGAACGATTGATTTGATCGTCATGTATTTTAAAAAAGATACCGGTCATGTGACATGCCTTTAACCACAAATTTTCACCCCACGTGACTTTGGCCGGCATTACGGTTTTAATAAATTAACCATGTGACAAATAAAAACCCTGATTTCATTTTTACTAAAAATTTTTGTTTCACTCCCCTTGAATGTCACCGGATACGTAGGTGGAAACTTATAAACATTTTGTGCGATACTGTGTTAAATTTGATTATTTCAAAGCAATACTTTTGTCATCTATTATGCATGATTACCAAATCAAATATCACGATGCCTAATTCATTTATCATGTAAATACGATAAAGAACAATCAGCGACTAGAATCCAGAGTAACCGATATAATTTTATTTACCCACTATATTTAAGGTCATCTACACAAAATTCCTTATTAATTAGCTTTTTATGGTAAAATTCCACGGATTATTTAAAATGCCACAAAAGTCACTTCCGATTCGCTTACCTTAATTCCAAAATACGAATTTCCTAAAAAAATATATAATATTTTTTTTTATAACAAACTAATTATAGTGGGTCATAAAATTTTTTTTAAAAAAAACTATTAAAGTATGTATATAAAGTTATATTATAAGCTGTAAATAATTTTTAAAAAAAATTCGTTTTTATTTGATAATTCATTTTATAAATTTGTTTCTGTTTTATTTAAAAACTATATTATTTAAATTGATTTATATTCTATTTTCTTTACATTGCAATTATATATAAGCAAAGGGTCGGGGATCTAATGCCACTATTTTGTTTGCTTGTTATTGATTTACCTAACGAGGTAAAGTTGACTTTATAAAACTAAGAAATCAATACTTACGATGTACTAATTATTTAAATAATTATTACATTTAACTTATTATAAATCTCATTTTAAATTTCATTTGAACAAAGAATTATATTGCTCCAATCTTTACAGGCATGTGCTGATAAGCTTTTTAGGGTGGAATAATCGGAATCAGATTATAGATGACGATCAACTTATTATGGGCTTTTTCACAATAATGACAATCTTGTTCCCTAAAGGCCATATAGTATGAAGCGCCGTCCTGTTCAAAAGTCCGGGATTCAAGCCCGGATTTTTTTTGGTTAAAACTCCGGATGATTCCGGCGTTGAATCCCGGACTTCTGAACAGGACGGCGCCTCATAATATGGTCCGATCACCATATGGTGTGGAATTATGGCGAGTGTGTATCACAATAAAATCAATAAAATGAATTAACTAACGATGTGAAAAAAATAGTATACAAATTTTAAAAGCTAGCTATATTTATGGCGTTTTATGGTCATAATTACTGCCAATATTCTTAAATAATTGATCCAGAAGGTTAAATAATTGCAAATAATTGCATATTCTAAATTTACTAATTTTAGCAAAGTCTCACAAGCACAGAAATTCACGTTGCCTTTGTTTATCAGAAATAAACATTTTAAATTATTTTTGAAAAAAATCTTATTTAACATATGATATCGTAGTGACGAATTGGGTTTGTGGTACCCGAATTCGTTATTGTCCTAAATGAGCATTTCGGATATCCCATATCAGAATGCGCAGAATGCGCATTTGAGATATCCCAAATTAGGGATTGGAATCGATTATGCGAAAATCGATTCAACATAGTAAAATGAATCGAATCGAATCGAATCTTTTTTATTTTTTACATATTAATCGATCTAACTCCAAAGTATTTTTCAATGCTGCCTATGTGTTGATCATTTTGCTAAAATTAGAAGCCAGGTTGAACGTCCATGAAAAAATTTGGAGATTCGATTAAATCGATTCCAATCCCTATCCCAAATGACAAGATCGTTTCGGACATGCATTTGTGCATTTATCCAGATGATCACTTGGGATATCCAAAATGCTCACTTCGGATCATAACCCAAATGACCACCACTTTACCCAAATAATCACTTCGACCAAATTAATTATTTATACGGATGCTCAGTATGACTATTTTATGCTCCAAAAAACCATTTTGAATGATCCAAATGACAAATATTGGGCATCCTAATTAGTAAATCAACATTTGGACATATAATGTTAATTTCCCATGTGTCTGTGGTCATTCGAAACGGCTCGAAGAGGTTATTTGTCCAAAATTACAATTCGTGAATGTCTGAAGTAGTAATTTGATATTATCCGAAGTGGTCATTTGGAATAAATGCGCATTAGGGGCAAGCATATGTCGGAAACGATCTTCACATTTGGGATCCCAAATGCGCATTCCGATTTGGATATCTGAAATGATCATTTCGGACAAGGTTAATTATGATCAACCATGTCACATGACTATAATTACAATTTTTTTATATATATGTCAGAATTTTATTCTGGAGTCGTATGATAAAATATTAATTTACTTATAAAAAATTAATATTTATTAATTAAGATGTTTGTACGTAAATTACAAAATTTAGGATTATTGATAATTTTAATTTCTGTTATCAATACTTCCTCCCATTTATATCCTATACAAGAAGAATAATTTCATCCATATCCCGTACATAGAGTAGCATTTAATCCACGAGGATATAACATTATAACAAAAATATGCATTCATTGGTACGATTATACTCAACAAGAGAAATTGACTGAATGCGACATACCAAAGCGAGTCCCATCATCAAAGAAATCTCCGAATTGGTCAATAGGATATAAACTCTCTATTCATACAGAAAGTGGCACATTTCATCCAGATCCAATTTTTTGGTGGGATGGTTGGGTAGGAGGAATATATTGTAACGATATACATATTCATATACGTGGTATTTATGATATACTTTCTTTTAAATGTGATGTAGTTTTCGATAAATGTTTCTGGGAATAATATATCAGATGTTTTGTTTTGGAGGAATTCCACAGAAGTAGTTGTATTTGCTCAAGTAATATATACTATAGTCGAGATAACAGAAGGCATTATTCTTATTAAGTAAAAAAACTCATAATTTTTCATTTATTAAATTAATAAAGAATTTTATCGCCAAATAGAATTAGTTGCACATTTTCTTTTTTTATTTTAATTTAAAAAAACTAAACTATTGAAGTCGGAAAACTTTCTCTTGTCAAACGCCTCGCCTAGCTTCTGGAAGATTGTTCTGTAGAATTTAAAAGTTTTGGAGTAGAGCTCTGATTCTTTTATTTGAGTGGTATGTTAATGTGTTTGCAAAAGAGTATATCACTTTTTTATTTTTTCCTCTTACAAGATCTTCGGATTCACCCAGCATTTTATAAATAAAATTCTTCCGCAGTTAAATGCTAAGATCTTTGCAATAATTTGTGATCCCAAGTTCCTTACATTAGTATATTAGTATTGCATTGAACTTCCTTCGGAGAAATGTATCATATAGGTCATTACAGGCTAAGAAATAATAAGTTCTGGAATGAAGCCCGGGTACACAATGATATTTCTATGCTAGTAATCGAAATTTTATTTAATTTTCATGCGATACAACTGCTAATGGCTCATATTCTACCTACTGCCCATCCTCTTTAATTAAACCTAATAATATTATCCGCCCCTCGATCCCATTCACTCAATCACCCTTTTTTATATGACTTATAATCATGTTCTCAGTTGAGAAACGTTCCTGACTCATCATTAAAATCAAGTCAATAATTATTCCATATTTTTTTTCCTATGATACAGCAAAATTAGGATGGAATTATTATTATTAGACGATATCAAATAATTTACTTAACTTTGATTAGTTACTTCCATAATGAAAATCAGGATTCAATAAACCGGCTTTCAAAATCCCACCTTATCGATCAAAGGTCTTCGAAGCTAAGAAAATACATCTTGAACCCAAAGTTTTTTTATAACACTTAAATGTTAGTTACATTATATCGTCAATCCGCAAAACCAGAAAACCTAAGCATAGTGTCATACACTTCTTTACCGCTCGATGTTCAAGTCCGAGGTCTAAGAAGCAAATCATTGCAGACCTAGAGTATTTGACTAAAAAAAAATCACTGTTTCCTTTGTTTCCTTGTAAAATCTTACAATAAAAAATATGACTATAATATATATTTGAATTAATTAATTTGTAAAGAATAACAACACTAGTTTTTCAATATTTTCCTGAAACTTGTAGTTTCGCAACTAGTTTCACAGGATCCAACTTTTTACAGTATCCAAGTATTTCGAATAATTAAAGTAAATCACAAAACCTATCACCCAATTATTTCCACAAAACAAAGTATTAAACTATTTTCATTATTAAAACTTCGAATTACTTCTTTGTGGGTTCAGATGTAAGAAGGATCAATAATAATTATTATCTGTTTGAGGCTACCAGATATCACTGGTTAATAATTTACACATGACGATTTCATACCTGTATTACAAAACCTTGTCACCACAGTCCAATTGTTTATCAGTACACGTCTAATTATAGGGTCCAGGATCATCAATTAAAACTAAAATATCATTTTCCAATATTATTACTAGTGCTGAGATCTCAATTTCCGTGTTTGCTTTATTCTTATGGTTGTCTTTGATGTCCTGCTCAATCACGATTACCTCAAATCCTTGATCATTAATTCGAGATGACTGAAGTTTAAATTTAGAGTTTACAATTTGACAAATTGGTTAACCTATAACCAGTCATTTTCGTTTGATTACAACATGCAACGTATCTGAGACTTCAATAAGTTTTTAAAATGCAAAATGACATGTCGAAGTATAATTCTGGCAGTGAATGATCAAATATTTAGTATTTGAGTTTCATTATCTCTCGATTCAAGAAATGAAATTTCATACTAATTTTGGTTATGAACGTCATTAATTGTATTAGTGATCATTCAATATACAGAATCACATGATTATTGATCAATTAAACAAACTTTCACAAACCTACATATAAATATTCCTCACACTTTGTTTTTCTTTTCTCCATCTGTCTTCCACCTATCTTCCACTATTTTTTTTCTCCACCTATATATATTACCTGATTTTTTGTTACATTTTTATCTCAAGATGACTGGAAGAAAAGAGCCCACTTCTACTTGATAGATATCAAAAGACGGGAAAGATATCTTTTCATTGGGTCTTTTCTACTCACCTTTCTATCTATCTTCTTTGCTCTAAAGTCACGTCTTTTCCTTCAACTAGCTCCACCTACTTTTTCACCTAACTTTCTCAAGGAAATTCAAGAAATTTCTGGTAATTATAAGAACTTACTTATATGTTTTATGTTGATTAGACATTTGTTCACATTAAAGTGGAAGCTATGACCCTTGCTTGACTATCTATCTAATATAGTTGAGAAATGCTTTGTCTAATCATCGTTATCGTTATCGTCGTCGTCTTGTTAATTTTCGCTATCGTTATCATTATCGTCTTCTTCGCCCATTATTGTCACTCACTACCTCACTCACTCACACTAATATACCATTTATTTATTTACAGAAAAGTCTATGCAACGGTTGCGGTGTAGATTCCAAGAGCGTTTATTTTTGCGGTAATTTACAAGAGGTCTGTCTCTAAAAAGGAAATCGAAGAATGGTTTGTCGTTATCGTTATAATCTTTACCATATTTTATATTATATCACAATAATACTAAGGTTTTAATTTTAATTTTTATTGTATAAAAAGTAACAGTTGCAGAGGTTGGTAGTGGAAAAGACAATCACAGCATTTACTTCTGCGGAAACATGCAAAAGCTTAGCGTAGAAGAAATCGAGATGTAGTTAAGATCAATAAATTCTCCTCCATTTGTTCACGTTAATAAAGGAAATGCCAGGTATGTATAATCAGATTGTTTATATCTTTGTGTTCTTTGATTAACAGAATTAATAATTTCAGATATGGAGTGTACATTGAAAGTATATGAAGAAACGTGCTTTTTTTCATAAAATGAAAAATGTGAAGTTTTCTGGACCATAATATTGATAATTTTATATTTTAATTTATAAAGGTTTTATTCTAAATATGGGGTCTTTGCAATAGAAAGGGGGAATCTACCTATTACTAATCACAAAAATCAAAATAATGAAATCGTCTTTTTAGATTTCATTGTTTGTTCCAACTGTAAAGGCCTCATTTATGTATTATTTTAATTTACTTCTTTTTTTTTCACAATTTCGTAGTAATTGAGATTCTTTTTGGGTTCGTAATATATATTTTTAATTAAACGTTTACAATCGTGTTATTTTGCATTTCCTTTTAATATACATATGTAGCACTATCAAAAAATTACCATATTTGGATGAAAAATTACCTTTATTCAAAAAGTTTTAAAATATTTAGAATAATAATATCTATCAATAAATGCTGCCGTCAAACTGTGCATTCACAAATAAGTATAGGATATCTGACCATTGGTATATATGAAACTTTTTTTGAAAGATTTAATCAAACAAGTTATTTTCTTGCGCATAACCGCAAAGAATGACAAAAGAAGATATCGAATACTATGGTCATGTATATTTTTAAATTTTGAAGTAAAAGTGTTTTTAAATAATTCACTTTAAATTACGCTATATTAATAAATCGTAATTATTTATTAGGCTTAGGTTACCTAGAAAATGCTATTCAAACGTGGGAGTTTTAAAATACTCTCTAACGATCCCATTTGAATGGATGATACCATGGAAATTATATGAATGTGTCAATTATTACATAATATAGCTTCAGCCGAACTGTTAACCTAAACAAAAAAAAATTTAAATAATATCAAGATATTTCAATAAAATTGACGTTAACCGGTAAAATAGATTTTCCCGACATCAGAAATATCCAGAAATTTTATGAAACGATATAATTCCGAAAATCAAATTCCATGACATGCTTCTTGTTTACGTTGTAAAGTTTCACAGTTGAAATAAAATTGTATCAGCATTTTTAGGTTTCAAGATTTCGAATATTGGGATTTCGAACTTTCGTCGAAATTTCGGTTGGATTTATATTTTTTCTGATTTTAGTTTTTAAATTATTATTCATTTAAACATTCAACTTCTAAACAATAATATTATTAAATCACAAATATAAAATTGTCAAGTGTAAATATAATATATTTTTAAAGCTCAAGTTTAATGTGACAATGAAAATTTTGATAAGCATCACAATATATCACAAATAATGCAATAAAGTTGGGGTTGGGAAGGATTTTGTAAAGTTACATAATTATGCTTCCTACTTTGCAAAGTTTTGCTTGACTTTGGGCTCGAGCCTAAAGTTGTGCAATGTTCTATAAACTATTCGAAATGCTATTGTATGCTATATTGCTATTACTAATGTGGATTGGTCTTAATAAAATTATAATACTTTCAAAACATCGGCAATAGTGTCCGTTTCATTAGCATTAAAAATTGCTTGACTTGAATAAGAGACGCTACCGTATCCTCTTGAATCAAAATTTCACCCGAGTGATTATCTACAACATTAACCAAATTCGTAATCTTTAAGTCGATAATTCTGTTATCAATTTCCAACAAACTTCATCAAGATTAGAAAGGTTACTATCTAAGATCCTGGAATAAATCGAAGGTTAGTATTTTAAATTTTTTTTTTTAAATAGTTAAATTAACAAAACTAATTCTTACACTTACCTCTCTTTGTAGGTGCCAAAGCCCTCTGGATCCTGGAATCCTGGATCAAATGAATCGGAGGTAAGTAATGTTATTTGTTATTTAAAAAATAAAAAATCTAATATTTTCGCTTACCTGTTTTTGTAGATGCCGAAAGTCCACTCCGGAATCCTGGAATAAATCGAAGGTTAGTATTTTAAATTTTTTTTTTAAATAGTTAAATTAACAAAACTAATTCTTACACTTACCTCTCTTTGTAGGTACCGAAGCCCTCTGGATCCTGGAATCCTGGATTAAATGAATCGGAGGTAAGTAATGTTATTTGTTATTTAAAAAAAAAATATCTAATATTTTCGCTTACCTCTTTTTGTAGATGCCGAAAGTCCACTGAAGGGAGTATCAGAAAAGGAGGTATATCTAGCAAGAATATTAAAATTTCATTATGAAAATTAGCAAAAAGTTTATTGATTCTAACTCAAAAGAACAAGAATTCGAACAAACTCTTCAAGAATTAGAAAATCCTAACTCTGGAATCCTGAAATAAATCGAAAGTTAGTATTTTAAATTTTTTTTTTTAAATAGTTAAATTAACAAAACTAATTCTTACACTTACCTTTCTTTGTAGGTGTCGAAGCCATCTGGGTCCTGGAATCTGGGATTAAATGAATTGGAGGTAAGTATGTATTGTTTTTTTTAGTATTATTAAAAAAAAATAATAATCTTACCTCCTTTTGTAGATGTCTGAAAAGCCTACTACGGAACTGTGGAATAAATTGAAGGTTAGTATTTTATTTTATTTTTTTTTTAAAAATAATTAAATTAAAAAATAATAATACTTTTTTGTAGGTTGCCAAAGCCTTCGGAACCCTGGATTCCTGGTTGAATGAGAATCAGAGGTAAGCAATATTTTTTTTCTTTTTAAAAATATTATAAAAAAAATTAACCATTTACTTACCTCTCTCTTTGTAATTGCCAAAGCCCATCGGAATTACAACCTGGATGGGATTTTAAGTAATCTTTCATTTATACAAAAGTTAAATAAAATAAAGGTTTTATTTTTTTCACAAAAAACAACAAATTTTCAAAAAAAAAATTTTATTTGAAATGATGAATACGAAAAACTGATTATGATTGGTCTGAAGTTTTGACTTAGTTTAGACGTTTTGACGCCTATTTAAACCCGCTGAAACCTGTCGAAACGTTTAGACTTTTGATAGTTTTAGTTTTGACTTTTGACATTAGTCTATTATGATTTCGTCCTGCAACTAGATAAAAATTATTTTAATTAATACTATGTAATAATTCAAAACTCCTAAACTTTATATTTAGATTAATAATATTGCCTAAAATGCCAAAATTTGATAAAACTAATTAATGAAAAAAATCAAGATATACGATAAAACCTATAATAAAATTAGTAAAACTTGTTAAAATTAAAAACCTGTAATTGGTAAAACTAGTTCAGGATAATAACAATTAGTTTTAATAAGTATTTATTAATCCAGATACTTATTAATTTATTTATTTATAAGAAAGGTAATATGTTTACTACTAATAGCTTCTTAGATTACTATGATATTTATATTATAATTAATCAAGAAGAAGTCTCTTTATTAGTTTAGTGTATTTATTTTGATTTATTTTTTTGTAAAATTGATAGTATAAATAAATACTCTATATAATATATATAGACTAATAATGTTTTTAATATAATACTCTTTTTTATCTTAATAAAAATATTATTTTTAAAATATATAAATGATACTAATTGAATTTCTGATTTGAAAAATATTCTATAAGTTAATAATGAATTTTATAGATTAATCAGAGTTATTATAAATCAAATATTTCTAAATGTTCTTCTTTAGCCTTTTTAAAATTTGAATCAAGAATTTTAAAATTTTTTAGTAAGATCTTTAGTCCATTTTCTTAAAGTTTAGATTAATATTGTAATCCAAATAGTTTTTAAGAAAATGAAAATTGTGGTATATAGTTAATTCCCTTTATAGTTATTTTTTTATAATCACATTTCTTCTTTAATCATTCAGTCCTAATTTTTTAAATAAGAAAATATATCTTT